GAATTGGAGCGGGTCATGCTAGTTGATAGAAAAATTCTCAGGCGTCTCTGATCAGAATATTTCAAGGAGACCCATCTACTCAGGCATCTTTATATGTTAGGCCTAGGAATACCGATGAATGATGTGATGTAACTATAGTAGGCCGGGGGACTCGGTCTCTGTGGCTTCTATGCTAGTTTTTACACATCGGTAACTGTGCCGCAAACTATCGTGGAACCGCCTCTAACAGGATTCTCGCACCCGATCGGTGTTGCATTCACTTGCTGTATTTATGATTGATTGGCTTGATCACTTGATAAGGTTGATTGGATGAAGGCAGTTTAGTAAACAGACTGAATCACGCATAATTCTCTAAATTTCTCGATTCGTTATGATTTTTTTCTTCGAGTCGCTTAAGATGTGCTTTCATCGTTCTTTTTTTTCGTCCGAAGGCCCTTCCTATTGAACGAAATCCTCTTTCTCATTATGACATCATCAAATTTCCTTAATGAGAACATCGCTCTCACTAGCACCCTTTTTTGTGAAGCTTCTTTTCGAACTTATTCGAATATTTGCCGTTAGTTCGATTTACGAATTCACACAAGTACAGCTTGTTCTGATAAAAGGATAGTCTTCTGGGAGGAAAATCCAGCTTCATTTTTTTTACTCATGACTAGGCAGATGCTCCGAAAACGTTGCTTTCTAATCCTCAAACTTTCAAGGCAGATGCGCCGAATTTCTGAATTATATATTTTCTAAGGAATTTCAGGTCTTTGAAGTTTATCACGAGCTAAACAGGAACTTTTGATATCTCTTTTTTTGACTTTTCTCTATCTTTCTAAGAAATAGGGAACAAAGTCAACCATGTCGTGTAGAGGGAATATATGAAAAAAAAACATTGTAACCGACTAGTTTGGCCTCTGCTCATACAAACCCCTCGATTGCAAACAACGAACTGGTTGCAGATTGCATAATAATAACGGGTACAGCAGTACCTATTCTGCAAACTGCAAACTACGCGCACATTCGGCAGGATCTCT